ATTACTTTAAAGAAAATGGGGTATCGGTTTGTTCATTTTCTCCTCATTGCAGCCATAAACTTCAACCTCTAGATCAAAGTGTATTTGGACTTTTTAAAAAAACACAAACACAGCTTGCGATGCGTGGATGACAATGCACCCTGTTTCCACAATGTCTATTTACAGTATACCAGGTATTGTGGGTAACTCATTTTCATTAGCATGTACCCCTAATAATATCAAGGCTGGTTTTGCAAAAACTGGAATTTACCCACTAAATGTTAACATTTTTGGTGAACACGTTTTTATGCCAGCCTATACCACAGATAAACCACCTCCGAAACAAGACTGTGCTGTGAAAAGTACAGCGCTAAATATAAGTAATGTAACAGATGTTGACTTTACAATATATGAGAATGACATGTTAAATGCTGGTTGCTCAAAAAATATAGAACCACGCCAAGATATTTCATATTCAAGCAGTAATGATGTACACAGTGCATCTACAGAGTCAACTGTAGGTCTATCGCCTGAAGATTTAAGGCTATTTAAAAAAGCTGAACCAAGAAAAAGAGTTAGAGATAATAAAACAAGTAGAACCACATCAATTTTAACAGATTCACCAAATATGAATGTTTTAAAAATAGAGAAAGAATCAGCTAAAAAGAAAAGGTTAGCAATTGAAAAGAAAAAACAAGCAAAAAAGTTAAATGAAGATAATATTAAGATGAGTAAAAGATCAAATAGTAAAGGAAGTTTACACTTAATGGAGAAAAGTTTGAATTGTCCAAATAGCTCTGTTGAAGAGGAGTGTTTTTGTTTGATTTGTGTTGGAATGTTTTCTAAAAGTAAACCAGAGGAAGTTTGGGTTCAATGCACCCAATGTCACCTTTGGGCTCATGAGTCATGTATAATCGGAAAATCTTTGTTTTTCATTTGCAATAATTGCTGCTAGCCGATTTGAAACTCTATTAGTTAAAAATATTCATGTAATAAAACTTATTGTATAACCATATATTAAAAATATTTATGTAATTCTTATTGTATAACCATATATTGGGAACATTGTTTTGTTTTGTCACTGTATTTTTTAATTATATTTACTTTCGATTGCTTAAAATGTTACAATGACTTGATCCAAAAGTTTGATAATATTGATAAAAGTATATTTCAGCTATGATTCATTTAAAAAAAATATTGGAATACACTTAAGTAGGACCTTTAACTTTAGCTTTTATTATTGCGAGTCAACCTACCCCTTGAGTATAAGCAACTTACCCCAGGGTGGGGTAAATTAGCGCAATTTTTTTTTTTTTTCTAAATGAATGCAACTTTTATAAGTTACCCAAATTCATACTCTTCGAAACTACACTTTTATATTTTCAAAAAAATGTTCCGTTAGGACTACAGAGCTCATAGAGTAAAAACCGAGTCAACTAGCCGCGGTCTCCCCAACATTATATTTAATCTTATTGAATTATATATAGTGGCGAATGTTAAATCATTTTTGGTTCTATACATTGTGAGGCTTTTATACAAGGAATATTTTAAACCAAAAAAATAATTTTTTCAAAAAAAGAGCTAATATAAAAATAAAAAAATTTCAAATAAAGAGCTAATATTTGTAACGTAAATAACTACAAAACGTTAAAGTAAATTGGTAACAGTAAATGCGCTTTTTTAATTAAATTAATTAGCTTATTAGGGTCATAAACAGCGCAATTTAATGACGCCAAAACATTTTAGTTTTCTTTTTTAGTTTATTTTAATCAAGCTAAAACTTCTAGAAAAATAGTTTAAGAACTTAAAAATAAAAAATTCTGGCTAAGCAAGCAAAAATGAAAAATTCTGGCTAAGCAAGCAAAAAGATTGTAACAAATAAGAAACTATAAAAAGTTTAGCAAAAAAGCTAATATTGTGCTACAAAACAAAAGGGAAAACGAAAAACATCATTAAAACATTTTATTGTACATTAAACTTTTTTTCTCTTATGGGTACTAAGCTTATAGAAGTTAAGGTTTATCATCAAACGCGCCTGGACTGAAAACCACTGATCTCAAAATAATAACTTATTTTGTAGTTATTATAGTTATTATTTTGAGATCAGTGACTGCAAACACATTTAGACCCAGGAAATATAAGGAACGCAGGCTTACAATATTAAAAAGATCTTTCACAAGAAACTTTTGTTTAGTAATAACAAAATTGTATGCTAATTATAAATTTGAGTATGCTAGTGTATTCAGATGAAATTTTTACAAAACTTTATAACACTCAATACATTTTCTGCATGGTTTGCATGATCTGTATTAATTTCTTCAACATCCTCCTCACCAAAAAAACAATTTACTTTTATCTTCTGCTAAAGTACTATTAAAAAGTTTCTACTTTTATTGAAAATTAGTTTGACTTTCAAAATTTTTTTTGTAATATTTTTATTTAATTTTTGATTTATCAAATTCGGTTATTTGATATATATATATATATATATATATATATATATATATATATATATATATATATATATATATATATATATATATATATATATATATATATATATATACATATATATATATATATATATATATATATATATATATATATATCTGTTGAATTTTTATCAAAAGGAACTACTTTTTGCACTTTTTAATCTTCTATTTGTATATATGGATTGTCTTCGATTTCTTGCTTATCAATTAACTTTTTTATCTTATTTGATTGTGACAGCATGTGAGCAGGGGCGGATTAAGGGTACCTGGGGGCAGAGGCACAAATAATTTGGGGGCCATTTTGACTAAAGAAATAGTGATAGGCATGTAGCATTTAATATTGATATTTTCTAAATTTTTTTCCAGCAAATTGTTCAACAATATCATCAAAGGAGGGTTGTTTGGTCATCTCACTTTCAATACCCATCAAAGAAATCGTTTTGAGGCGTTTTTAATTAATTATAGTGGGGCATTCATTTTTTATACTCTTTAATTGCTAGAAACTTTTTCCTATACAATTTGCCACCATTAGGCTGAGGTAAATTTTGAAAGCTACTGTAACATTCGGAAAAGTTTCTACTAATATGCGGTAGTGGTGTAGTGGTAGAGCGCTCGCTTCATAAGCGAGAAGTTCGGAGTTCGATTCCCACCACGTCCCTGGTAGTACCGCGCTCAACTTGTTTCTCCGCGCAGCGGCTTTGTTTGCCAAGGTTCGTGTTTCGGAGTTATAGAGTTGAGAGAGGGTTATAACCACAAGTAGCTTCCTCATCTGTAGTGGCCTTCTCGGCCTTGGGGAGGTTAATTACAAAAAAAAAAATCCATCATTGAGCAAAATGTGGTACATCAACAACTACTTGCTTGTTTTTGTGTCATCAGAATTGATTCATGTGACTGCGTAAGAGCAAATTTCAACCATTTACTTTCCCAAACTGATTTCAATATCATTGGAGTAATGTGCTGCTAAAGTATCACAATGTTTTATCACTTCCATACGAGTCAATGTTTGCAAATTGTACATGAACCAAAATCTGCTAGCCACATCTGAATATGTGGCAGACTTGTGAGCCAATGCTGCTTTTAATTGATCGATAATAGCAATTAGAACAAAATTCATCTTTTTCAAGCAGGAGAACTCCTTCAGAAGTATCTTCATTTAGCAATTATTTTCTTTTTCTGACTCTTTTGACTTGTTTTTTATGTATTTCAATTTAGAAAAACTTTTTTACATATTTCTCAAACTTATCCAATTTTGTCGAACATCTCAACAATTGAACATACTCAATTGAACATCTCAACAATTGAACTCAATAAATGCAACAAAACAATAGCTTTATTCAAGTCTAAAGTGGCATCTTATAAAAGTAGACTTATTTTATTGAATCTTTGCAGCATCATTTCTTAAAAAACAGTCAAGGTACCAGCTTCTAATTCACCAAGACATTTTGGTAGTCGAAGCGCCTCTTGTCGAGTTTTATCTTTTATACGTTCATCAGTTGCAATGGTATCTAGAGCAGATTAAAAATTCATGTTACTCTTCCGCAAAGCACTTGTTGCGTCAACGTGTTTCTGAGAGTTTTTTAGGCACTGGTGTCTTGTCTTTGGCTAGCGCTTTTGTCAGGATTGTCCATTATAGGAGGCACTAAAGAATGTGTAGATCCGTTGCACAATATCAAAAAAACAACTGCTGCATTACAACAGCCGAAAGCATTTTTGTCAACTAAATTTAATGAATGAGCAAGGTGTGTAAATAGCATATTCACAAACAGATAAATGATATGAGCCTCAATACCATTGCAACATCCAGACAAATTCAAGGCATTTTCGTACGTCTGACCGCAACAGTTGCTTATGTCAATACTATTTTTCTCTAAGAACTCTTTTAATGTATTTAGTAATCTAACTCCAGAGTGACTTTCAAACTTAATGAATGTCAAAAAATTGGTTAAATTCTCCAATCATTAAACCCTTTTGTAAAAGGAGAATTATTTTTCATATCCGATAATAAAAGCTTACATTTGAAACAATAAATATGTCCATTTAATGGAACAAAGCCAGGAACGCTCAGGATTCTCACCAGATTATTTAAAATGTCAAGCGAATAATGAAAGAGTACAATACCGGTTTTTACTACTGTCCGAGAGTTTTGATGGCAAAAATCCTTCATCTTTATGTTGACATTCAATAGCAACGGTGTTGATAAATTGAGATTGCATGTTTGATGAAACTGTTTTCCATAAACCCAGATCAGTTGCATAAACAATTGGCAGGTCTACCACCGCTTGTTCTTAAACATGTTCAGTGTCAATGCGGCTTCAGCTGTAGCCGCTTCAAATACAAATGGTTCTTGATATTGAGCTTCTTTGATTTCGAAGAAATCAAAGAATCGCAAGAAGCGTGTGCCTCAATTGTCTCAGTTATAATCCGCCCTTTATGTGTGTTAAAACCGTTATAATGAAGTGAAAAGAAAGATTTTAAAAAAAGCTTGACTATATTTTTGGGCCACTTGGCCCATCGGGATATTCCTGGTAT